CGCGTAGTATGTATTATACGTGATAAGGAAACGTTATTTTTTTAAAGGTAAAATAATAATAATAATAATAATAATGATAATAATAAATGCCGTAATAAAATTTTTTGCAAAGAAAAAAAAATTCTTCTAGTCAAGACAAGTAAACTTGTTGCATTTAATGTTGACATTAAAAAAAAAAGTTGCGTTGCAGGGTCAAAACCGCAAAAAAAAAAAAAAAAAAGTTTTTGCGGTCGTTAATTTTTTCTTGCGTTAAGTAATCGAATGATAATAATAATATTATTTTTAGGGTAAAAAAAAATTTTTTTGCTAAAAGTAATTCGAAATTATTTCAAGTTTATTTTTAAAAATTCAAACAATGAGTTGGAAGTTGAGGTTTGCGAGAAATATTATTTCGGAAGAAACAAACGACAAACGACAAACGCGATAGTTTTCTCCTGATGTTTGTTGTTTGTTTGTATTTTTTTTTGGGAGGGGGGGAGGAAGGCATTAATTACTTCTCCCATTTTGTCATTCGATCGGATTTAATTTATTAAACTTGCAAATTCCATTTTAGGCAACGACGTGAAAGAAAAATAATTATTTTTATCATCATCATCATCATCATTATTATTATTATTATTATTATTATTATTATTATTATTATTATTATTATTATTATTATTATTGTTGTTGTTGTTATCATAACGAAACGAGGCAGGAGACATAAGGAAAACATTAAAATAAAATTTACGTCATTTAAAAACAATGAGATTTAGTTTTTTTTTTTTTTAAATTCGATTGGTGATATTTTTTTTTTTTCAAACGCCTTCGTCGTCGTCACTTTCCCCCCGTTATTATCATTATCATTATTATTATTATTATTATTATTATTATTATTATTATTATTATTATTATTATTATTATTATTATTATTATTATTATTATTATTATTATTATTATTATTATTATTATTATTATTATTATTATTATTATTATTATTATTACCTCATCAACCGAAAGGAAAAAGAAAAGAAATGAAAGAAAAGAAAAAATCTTCCGGCATTTGAGGTATTTATTTAATGAAATTAACAATAACACCCACAGTCGGTCGGTCAATCGGTCGGTCGTTATGTTTTCTATGTTTTTTTTATGTTGGTTATGTTTCGACAAACTTATTGTGTTTGGTAAAGAAAAAAATGTTTGTAATCGAACAAAGCATTAATATAATTATAACAAAAAAAATTCGGTGAGAGATAATTTTTTTGTAAATTACATTTCCGGTTTTCTATTGAAAAGTCCGTTCGATTTTTCAAATTTCTTTTTTTTTTTTTTTTTACTTTTAAACCGGAAGGAAGGGGAGGGAGGTAGTAGGGAGGGTGAAAGGGGAGGGGGAAATCAATGAATTAAAAAATCAAAACCGTTTTGACCTACCCCTCCCCCCCTCGCTTCGTTTCATTCGATTCGACTTCCTTTCTTCCTCTTCTTGTTTTTTTGTTGTTTTAAGTTTTGTAAAAAAAAAAAAAGAAAAAGAAACTAAAAAAAATTTTTTTTAATAAGTGATAAGCGTTATCGCACGCGCGTTAACGCACGCGTTTACGCAATTAAAAAAAATTTTAATTAAAAAAAAAATTTTTTTTACCCGGGAGACTCGAGTTGGTCGATTTTATAATTTTTTTCTTTTTCTTTTTCTTTTTCTTTTCTTTCCTTTTTTTTTTATTATCATTATTATTCTCATTATTATCATTATTATCATCATGCGCAAGTTTTTTTTTTTTTTATCAATCACGGTCAACTGGATAAACTCGTTTCTCGTCGAAATAATAGAACTTGATACTGAAATTTTTATTAAATTTATAATAAATAGAAGGGGAAAAAAAAAAATGACTTAATAACCGACGAGTATTTGTCATCATCATCCGTATCCGGTTTTTACAATTCACCTATTTAATCTCTCCTTTGCATTCATTTCCGTTTTGATATTCTTACTCGTGCCCCCCCTCACCCCTCCCTCTCTCATTTGTTATTAAAAAAGTTTTATTAGGATTTTTTTTTTTTTTTTTTTTTAATCTTGATATATGTGTGAATAAAAAATAAAGGGGGGGGGGTTTGTTCGAAAATAAGTATTATTAATATGCGTTCGTGTGCGTGCGTGAGTGCGTGTGTGCGTGTACGTTAGAGGATTTACGTCTGAAAATATTTCAATAATTAATTACATGATTGATTGTGGTAGTTTAATTTAAAAAGAATCGTTTCGTTCGTTTTATTCTCTTTATTAAAATTTATATCGAATCCATTGATTCGAGGTCGATTGTGCGTGAGTGCGTGCGTGTGCGTGTGCGTGCCTAAATGTTTTTGCTCAAATTGCAATAATAATAAAATACCTAGAAGGGATGTGAGTAAAAAGAAAAAAAAAACTTGTCCCAGAACTTGTGGCGAAAAGTGTTTGTTCGCCACTACGACCAAAGGCCAAAACCTAAATCCCGTGTACAACTAATATATTAACCCCGTGTTAAATTGCAAAATGTGTGCGAGCAGGTACGCACACGCGCACTCACGCACGCACTCACGCACGCACGGAAAAAAAAAGTAGAATGAAAAATTTTTGCCTCCAAGTCGAGGAAAATAGTTTTTGCTGCATATATTATAAAACGGATGTTAACGACAGAATTTTTTTTTTTTTTTTAAATAAAAATTATGTACATAAAACGATTAAATCGCGGCACACGATGGGTGGGAAATGATAATAATAATAATAATAATAATAATAATAACGGGAAATTTTTTTTTTTTGGGTGATTAAAAAAAAATCGGTAATGAAAATTGTCGTTTGATAACTTTTTTATTTTTATTTTTTTCATCGGATACAAATTTCTTTATTTTTGAGGGGAGAGGGGTGAGGGGAGGTTGGAAGGGTGCCCGTCGTAAGTGAAATAAAAGCAGGGAAAGTAGAAGAAGAGAAAAAAAAAAAAATTCAAAAGGTAAAATTATAATTAATTTGAGTAATTTTTTTTCCTTTACACTTTGTGTAATAATAATTACACGTTCTAATTTAAAAATTTTTTTCCCTGTTAAATTTTTATTAATTACTTTTTTTTTTTTTATACGGAGTTTGAGATGTTTAAAATTTCGCAAACAAAGGTCAAGAGGTTAAATTTTTTCTCTCTCTCTATTTTTTTTTTTTTTTTTTACGTACGAATGCTCGTGTGTACTAATAATTAATGATGCAAAAAGAAAAAAGATTTTTAATTATTGTATTGTATTCTTATTATTGTTATCATTATCATTATTATTATTATTATTAAAAATTTTTTTTTGTAAATTTCTTAACTCATTGTTATACTTTTCCTTTCATTATTTTTTTTTTTTCTTCTCAATTTACAATCAATTGAAAATAATCAGAGCGTATTTTTGTTGTTGTTGTTGTTATTATGTGAGTTATAAGGAAATGGAAAATTTTATTTATTTATTTATTTAACGGTTTATTTTACATTTTTGATTATTATTAATTGATAAAAAGTTAAAAAATGGGATTTAAATGAAATATTTTCGGTTGAATTTATCATTGTTTGTTTGTTTTTTTTAAATTTTAAAATAAAACGCGGGAAAATTACATTTGAAAATGGCGGAAAAATGACGCCATTTAAAAATGTTACGTTTTAAAACAAAGATGGCGGCGTTTTAAATATGACGTTTTAAAGATGGCGTTTTAAAGATGGCGTTTCAAGATGGCGATTTAAAGATGGCGTCTTGAAGATGTCAGTCGTTGTGTCGGTGTGAAAGTGAAGCAATCGGTTTTTTTATTTCTTTCTTTTTGAACGGGATTTAATAAATATTTTTTAATAATGGCGATTTGTTTTGCAACAATAATTATTTAATTTTAATAAAGTTTTATTTATTTAAAAAAATTTTTTTAGGTTTTTAATTTAAAAAAAAAATTTTTTTTTTTTTGTTTTTAAATAAATTTATTTATGTATTTATTTTTTAATTATTGATAAATTAAACATAAATTAAAGACAAAATTAAATGTCCTTTATAATTTTTTTTTTTTCCTTTTTTTTAAACTTTAAACAAAAAAAAAAAAAAAATTAAATAAATTAAATTAATTTATTTTATTATATTTTAATGATGAATTTTCAAGACTGCAGATGATTTAAAAAAATTTTTTTTTTTTTAATTTAATTAAATAAATAATTTAAGTGAATGTAAAATTCTGTTTGTAAAAATTATTTTCTTTTGCCATTTTTTGTTTTTTTATCTTTTTGTTGTGATGATTTTTTAATTCAATGCATTTATTTCCAAAAAAAAAAAAAAAAAAAAAAAGGTTTTCTTTCCCACCATTACATGACCATTTCGACATTATCACAACTCGATTATAAACATAAAATTTCATTTTCAAATTGATTAATTTTGATATTCAAAAGTAATAACATTAGAAGAAAAAAAAAATAAAATTATTGTCGGATGAGTACAAAAGGCACAAACACAAAAATTTTAAATGCAAATTATAATAATAATAATAATCGATTGTGTGTGTGTGTAGAAAAAAATGAAAAAACAAAACCATGAATGATGATGAATACTTTTAATTAATGAATATACAAAAGTATTATTATTATTATTATTATTATTATTATTATTAAATCAGTCAAAGAATTTTTTATTTTTTTCGATTATTTATTATTGAGTATATTGTTTTTTTTTAATAACTGAACGATAAAAAAAATTAATTTTTTTTTTTCTTAAACACATTTTTAATAAATAAGGGACAATTTTAAAGCTATTTTCACAATTTGATATTTTTATTTAATTAAATCTATTTCCAATCTTTTGTTTCACCTTAAAAAATAAAATCGACAGATGAGATTACTTAATAATAATAATAATGATGATGATGATGAGAAAAAAAAGAAAAAACTAATTAAAAATAAATATTTTTATAACATATTCTCCCTCGTTCATACAATTGATGATAAGCTATAAACACATAATAATAATAATAATAATAAAAGGATTTAATTAATTTATTTTTTACCATAAACTTGAATTGTTTTTTTTTCGGAAAAAAAGTTTTTAACGATAAACACTTGACCGATTGCACTGACTAGTATAAGAATTGTTTCTAATATACTCCACCACATGACTCTTTCGTTAAGGTCTTCTGCTCTTTTCCTTCCTTTAGCTTCTTTTAACCTATGATGAGTTTGAAAATCATCTATTTTGGCCAAGAGTTTGTGTATTTCTTGTGCTGATGATTCCATCTATACAAAAAAAAATGAAGGAATTGAACTCTGATTGTTTAGAATTCGAAATTAAAATGTTTATTTTAACATTTCGAATATTCAGTTTGGTAATTTGTGTCATAATCGATTTACCTGTGTCATAACTGTTATGTGTTCCCCTAATCCAGGTAATGGCTGCTCTTCTCCTACTTGAAAATTCATGTAAACTATCTTATGTGAAAATGTTGAAAATTCATTACTAAAACAAGCAGCATATATGCCTGGAATTTTGGGTGTGAATACGTGAGAATCGAATTGAGTTTTTATTTGCTTATAAATTATTTCTTTATTTGGAGCCTCTAAAATAACGTCAACATCATATTGTCCTCCAGTAACGACCTGAAAATTTTTGTCATTAATATTAATTAGTAAAAAAAAATCACAAACTTAATTTTAACAAAAAATTTTTTGATTTTTTTTAATAGTAAATTCCGCCAATAAAATAGGTATTATTTTACAAACTTATGACAAAATCAAAATAAAACACATCGTTTTGCATTAAATGCTACACGTTAACAGTACCTGAAATTCTAAGGTAACAGAAATATTCATTGGAATATTTTCATAAAAACATTGTTTATCGTTATCGCCTAATTCAAATGTAAGCTCAACGCCAGCAACCGAAACAAAACAAGCTATTATAGCCGTTATTGTTAATAACACAATTCGTAAATGCATATTAAATTAATTTATTTATAGCATTTATAACACTAAAATTGAATTTCAATAAAACTTATCAGTGATACACAATAAATATTTTCCGTTTTTTTTTCTTTTTTTCTTTTTTTTCTCTTTAATAAAGCCGAAATAACCAAACCCCGTTACTTCGTATCCATTTTATTGACAGTGAATTTTTTTTTACGTGGCCGGATATTTATATGTTAAATTACATTTAAAAAATTTTTTTTAGGGCCCTGAAAAGTCAAATCACTTATCCCTGCATATATTTGTAGTAGAATTTAATTTAATCATGATATTATTCCGTTACTAAAAGAATTTGTTTAATTATTTAAAAATGTTTTATCATTTTATTATTATAAATATATCTTGACGTTTTTTTTTCATTTTTTATTTTGAATAAGGTTAATTTTTAAAAATGTCTAGCTTAATAACAGGAGATTGGGTTTCTCTGGAAAATGATGTTTACTTTAGGTAAGATATATACCGATTACAAGATATTAATGACAGTTGATAAATTAAATGTTAAAAAATGTTTTTTATTTCATTTTTATAAGTCTATATATATAAATAAATTCATTGAAATTTAAAATTTAATTTTGTTAATTTTTTTTTTTTTTTTTTTTCTACAGGAAATTTGAAGTATATCAAATGGAATGGTCACACGACATTGATATTGATAATATTGTCGTAAGTGCCGCTCCCTACGGAGGACCCATCGCCATAATGCGTGATAGAAAAAAATTAGTTAAAGTTCAAGTTACCGGAAAGCCTTTAATTCAAATATTTTCTTCTCCAGGGAATATTATCTCATCCATTGTGGTAAGTTTTAACATGGGATAAAGTTTACATCATTATGTTTTATACATGAATCATTATAAGTAATAAAACACAATTTTTTTTTTTACAGTGGAACAGTGGAGCACTCATACAAATAGGATGGTCTTCCGATGAAGAATTATTATGTTTAAAGGATGATGGTACGGTTCTTGTTTACGACATGTTTGGTAACAGACAGGGTTTATTTTCAATGGGAGAAGAAATCAGCGTGACGAAAATAATTGAAGCAAAAATTTTTCCCAGTTTCAGTGGGACTGGCATAGCAGTTTTAACAAGCAAATTCAGAGTTTTTTTAATTAATTCAGTTAAAGATCCGAAAGTAAAACAATTTCCTCAAATACCAAGTAAATATTTGTTTGATGTATTTTTTTTTTTTTTTGAAATGCACGATTTAAACGTTGAAATTTTTTGTATAAGTGAAATAGAATGATAATTTTACAGATTCTTCCGAACCTTTAAACGGATGGGAAATAGTTTCGGAAAGGGAAACCAGTGTGATCATATCGAAAGGCAGAGAACTTTTTTTACTTAAGCAGGGAATTAATCCGATTAGAATGGTGAGTCTCTAAAATTGATTTAAAAAACTTTCGACTGTTAGTTTTCAAATGTAAAAATAAAATTTATAGGAACCAAATTTTCAAGAAAATTACAAAGGAATCATCGATATGTGCGTTTCATTGGATAATAAACATTTGGCTCTCTTATCGGATTCAATGATGCTGTGGTTGGGATCTTCAGATTTGGAAAAAAAGTATTGCGAAGTTAACACTAATTGCACTTGTAGACCTAAACAAATTGTTTGGTAAGAGGAAAGAAAACAAATAAATTTTTTAAATCCATTAATGATTTTAATGATTATCATCATTATCATCATTTCAGGTGCAGTGCAGATGCTGTTATAATTAATGCTGGTAATCAGTTGGTCATAGTCGAAAGAGGAGGTGCTCAGAGTAGCTTTTTTACCACACCAGTACATTTAGTTACCGAAATTGATGGCGTTAGAATATTAAGTTCGAGCATGCATGAAATGATACAAAAAGTGCCTCAAGTGACTAAAGAAATATTTGGTATCAATTCGACGGAACCTGGAAGTTATTTATTAGAAGCTAGTAAGCAGTACGAGAGAAAAAGTCACACTTCGTACGAATACATTGATTTAGTAGGTTCACACCACACGTATAAATCGACCGATAATAAATAATTAGGGTTAATTAATTAAATTTTTCTTCTTTTTTTTTTTTTTTTTCAGGTGAGCGATAATTTGGAGAAAGCAGTCGATCAATGCGTCAAAGCAGCAGGTTTTGAATTTGATCCGGATGTGCAAAAAATGCTTTTAAAAGCGGCAAAATTTGGGAAAACGATTGCACCGGATATACCGTCAGAGCCATATGTTAAAATGTGTCGAATTCTCAGGGTTCTCAACGGCGTGAGAAATAAAAAAATCGGAATTCCGCTCACTTATTCCCAGTATCCTTTTTTAAAAAAATTATTTAAACGTATTTTTTATCACGACAGTTGGTTCGGATTCCTTAATTATCCCATAAACAGATTGCACAATCTCTCTTTAAGAATTCTCTTGGATAGACTAGTGGCCAGACGTCAGTATAAATGGGCGATAGAAGTCGCAAAATATTTAAGATTACCCGAAGAAGAAGGTTCGAGTCGGATTTTGGCTCACTGGGCTTGCTACAAAGTCAAACAAACGCATTTGGATCAAGAGCAAGTGGCAATAGAAATGGCTGAAAAACTCGGGTACGCTCCCGGAGTTTCTTATAGTATCATCGCGAGCAAAGCCGTTGATGCTGGCAGGACTCAGTTGGCAATCAAAGTAAGAATTCAAATCGATGTACAAATATTTACGCGTACGTTTTTCTAACGAGAATTTCTTTGTTTTACAGCTTTTAGATTACGAACCTCAGGCTGCTCTTCAAGTTCCTCTACTGTTAAGACTCGGCCAACAGAAACCGGCTTTGATAAGAGCATTGGATTCGGGAAACACGGATCTCATACACACGGTTATATTAAAAATGAGAGAAACTATGCAATTGGCGGATTTTCAAATGACGATAAGAGCTTTTCCGGTGGCTCAAAGTTTATATTTGAAATATTGCAGGGAAAACACTCCGGAAACTCTTCGCGATATTTACAGTCAAGAAGATGATTATTTGTCACAAGCGGCTTGTTTCATAAAAGATTTCTACGATCCGAAGGCAAGCAGCGGGGGGGAGGGGAAAGGGGAGGGGAGGGGGCATTTAGAGAAAATAATCTAATTTATTTTTTTGTCAATTAGAATTCGTCAAAAGACGCATCTCTCACTTCGGCAATAGATTGTTGCGTGAAAGCGAAAAATGATTTTTTAAGCAACACGTGCAAGGAACAACAGAAATTGTTAAACTATCAGAAAAATCTAGAAGAGAAATTTCACAGGGATTTCGTTGGTTCGAGTTTACACGACACTCTTCACCTTCTTTTAACTCTATCCGAAATAAAATTGGCGGAAAAATTAAGGTCGGAATACAAAGTTCCGGATCGAAGGTTTTGGTGGCTCAGGTTGATGACAATGGCCGAACTCGGCGACTGGGACGAAATGGAAAAATTTTCTAAAAATAAATCGCCCATCGGTTACGAGGTTGTAAAAAATTTTTTTTTTTTGTTGTTCTTTTTAAAATTCCCGAGTTGATGACCGGGGAAATTTTTTTTTTTTTTTTTATTATTACAGCCTTTCGTAGAAATTTGTTTGAAACACGACAACAAAATGGAAGCTAAAAAATACGTAGCGAAAGTATCGAACGAAACGAAAGTGAAATATTACGTTAAGTTATCAATGTTCGAACAAGCCGTTCAATTCGCGTTCGAACAAAAGGATTTGGATGCGTTGTTGTACGTGAAAAACAATTGCGGAAATGGCGACGAATCCCTTTTGGAAAAATTAAATTCGTACATTGGACAATTGAGTAAAAGGACGAAATTGTTTTGGTCGAATTGATGATGGAGATGATGGAGATGGAGGTGAAGATGAAGATGGAGATGAAGAGGATGACGGTCCCCCCTTACCCTTCCCAACGAAAATTTAATAAAAAAAAAAAAAAAAAAATGTTGGGTTTTTTAGTTTACACAATTAAATTGGGCCTTAATTAATTTCAAAATGAGGGGAAAGAATTACAAAAATAAAATGAAAGAAAAAATTAATTTAATTTTTTTTATTTTTATAAAAATAATTCAATTTTTTTTTGTTATTGTTTTAGTTTTTTTTTTTTTTTTTTTTTTTTTTTTTTGTAAAGGAAAAAAAAAAAATTGGCAATCATTTGTTACTTACAACATAATGGCGGTAAAAACATTGTTTATGTTATTATTGTTTTTTACGTCACGTTGTACGGTTTGTTATTTTTTACCCGAGGACCACGATGGGAATTGCAATGGGGAAAAAAACGTAGATAATAAAACGTGCGAGTATCATAATCGGGATTCGATAGAAAATGTATGCGAAGGTCATCGAGTAGTACATAATTATTTAAGGTCTGAAGAAAAGAAGAAAATTGTCGACACGCACAACGATTTGCGTAATAATTTAACTTTGGGATTTTATAAAAGGATACCGAAAGCTCGTTTTTTAAAAAAATTATCGTGGAACGAGAATTTGGCAGAATTGGCACAAAATCGTTCGATCGAATGCGAAAAATATGAAAGGGAAAAAAAAAATGATAATTATCATTTGGATAAAGGGGATTTGATAGGGGAAAACGTGGCGATTGTTAATGATAATGATGATAACTCGGTAGATGATTTAATGAAATTATGGATTAATGGATTAAATTATTTAAATTACGATTTGATATCGAGATATAGGCCGCCATCGATTGAGAATGAATATGATTTTTCGACGGTTGTTCAAACAATATGGTGGAACACAAGCGAAATCGGTTGCGGAAGATCCAAGTACAATAGATCGTTAGAATGCGATGATGATGATGATTGTTTAAAAAACGAAACGGTTATTAAATTAATTTGTTATTATTTTCCAATCGGTAATAAAATAAACGAATCCGTTTACATTATCGATAAGGGATTATCCCTTCTTTGCCATTATGAAAATTCTCAAATGTTTTGCGCGGAATTCAATGGTACAGATGATGATGAGGGAATCGTGAGAGTCAACATGACGGGTAAAAGTTCAAATCGATCGCGTCAAAAAGATGAAAATGTTAAATTTTTCGATTTGACACCGGTCGATAGTAATGGATCACCTATAAAAAATAATTTTTATGTGTTTTATTTATTATTATTAACGTTTTCGTGGAGCATTTGTTAAAATAATAATAATAATAATAATAATAAAATGGCTTCTTTTTTATTTTTTGTATTTTACGAAACTGTAATTTTTCCTTGCAGTTATTTAAAATATATATATATATATATATATATATATATATATATATATATATATATATAAAACGTAATGATGGAAACGAAATAAATAAATAAATAAGGGTTATTAAAAATTTAAAATAAATTTTATTATTATTATTATTATTTATATTTATAATTTTCTTTTTCTTTTTTTTTACATTTTTTTTTTTTTTCAGGGAAAAAAAATTTTTTTGAACGAGTCTACACTCTACAAAAAAAAAAAAGGTAAAAGATTTAAATTTATTTATATTAAAATAGAAAATAAATAAATAATCAATAAATCGATAAATCGATAAAATAACAATAAGTATTGATAAGAAAATGGATCGTGGATCGTGCGTAAAAAAAAAAAAAAAATTGATTTAATTTTCAAATTATTATTATTATTATTATTTTCTCT